ACCTCTGTTTATGAAGGGAGGCATAAAATAGGGATTCATGTGTTTGCCAGAGATGCTTGCTACCATCAGGTCAGATATCCCAGCAGAATCTAAATAGGAAATGTATCTTAGGTGGTGCAATGGATAGAGCACTGGCCCTGAAGTCGGGAGGATCTGAGTTCAAATCCAGCCTCAGACCAAACACTTGACACTTAGTAGCTGTGTGACCCTGGGCAAGTCATTAACCCTAACTGCCTAAAAAAAATGAATCTTAAATACATGGTGAGGTTGCCCAGAAGATGCCACTGTCTGCAGAAGACATTGTGCTGATAGCATCTATTACTAAACCACTGGATGTGAAATAGAAACATTCACTCAAAAGAGTTTATGCAGTTGGTTAGACATCCTAGAGAACTGCTCCAAAAGTACATGTATGTATATATGAAGGTATGTACATGTGTGTATATATAGAGTCATACACTGGACATGCATGCATGTTTGTATACGCACATATACATATATAGACATTGTATGTATTGTGTGCTGGCTATGCATGCACAAATACATGTATGTATTATATGCATACACACATGACAAACAAGATCTATGTATCTATCACTTTGCAGACTGGCTATGCCTTGAGGTCAGAACTGAATAGAAAAGTGACTTGAAACAATGGCCCATCTTTTAACAGTATTATTATGGTCATAGGGCAGGTAGGTGGTACAGTGGATAGAGTGTCAGGCCTGGAGTCAGCAAGATTCATCTTCCTGAGTTCAAATTTGGCCTCAGACACTGAGTAGGTGTGTGACCCTGGGCAAGTCACTTAACCCTGTTTTCCTCAGTTTCCTCATCTGTAAAATGAGCTGGAGAAGGAAATGGCAAACCACTCCTATGTCTTTGCCAAGAAAACCCCAAATACGATCACAAAGAGTCAGAAATGACTGAGAATGACTAAATAGCAAATTGTGATTGTGCTGTATTACTTCAAGTCATGGAACACTATAGTGTCTGAAGAATTCAAGTTTTGTCAGCCAATGGGTACTAGACAGGCACATGGTAGCCACTTGTAGCGTACAACATATTATCATCAAAGTATTACCCAAGAGAAGCAGTGTAAAGCATAGCATGTCACCAAAGACCTATATGACCGGAAGGAAGCATTTTCCTTCTAAGAGGATACAACTCCATTCCACTTAGGCAGGGAAGAACTTGTCACTTGGCTTCTAAAGTTCCATGGTTCTTCTCTTCTTTCTCTGTATAACATACTCTACATATATATATATACATACACATATACACACACATACATACATACACACGTACATACATACATACATTGTATATATATATAAAACATCCCTCCAATCTGGATTCTGGATCCTTTTTTTTCCCTCTCTTTGTTTTTCCTTCCAAGCACATTTTCCATTTTTTCAAGGAACACTTCATTCTCCTTGGTAAGTTAAGGAGAAAAGTATTCCTCCTGACTTTTCATCATGTCTGGGATATAAACCAAGGTTCCCTTTGTGCATAAATACTAGGAGAAACACAGATGAAGCACAGTCCTCTGCACATCACTAAAATATTCCCCCTAGCACTCCATACTTTCTGAAACAGATATCGTCAGTTCTTTGACCCTCTTACTACCTTGTCTCATCGCTGCAACAAAGTACCTATTTATTTGCCCTACCTGTTTATTGGACAATGACTTGATGCTCCTGGACAAGTTTTTTATTTATAATGCATTTTCCCTGTCTTTTCCCTCCGATGCTACTTGCCATGATGTATTTGGTTTCCTACCAACACACACCTTAATGCAATCAATAGCTGCCTTCAGTTGCTGTCTCTGAGATTCTAAGTAAAATATCATTGTTCACCCACTTTCTCTCCTTTCGTTTTGCTGCTAGTAAGATTTCAGACTTCTTATGTCAACTCATACTTTGCCTCTTAGTTATTTCTCACACCTTTTGAATACTAACGAGCACAGTAGGTGAATAAATTCCCAGCCAGAAATAATTTCTCATCTTTGTCTTTTTTCCTATTTACACTATCACAGATCTTGAGAATAGGAAGGGACATGAGCAGTCATCCAATCCAACCTATACATGAAAGAAATCTCTACAATACCTGACAAGTGGCCTTCCATCCTCTGCTTAAAGATCACCTATAAAAGAGACACCTAACCTCTCAAGACAGCCCCTTTCTTCTTTTGCATAGCTCCAATTGTTACCAACTTTTTTTCTGACATCAATCCTAAATATTCCTTTTTGCAACTTAATAATAATAATAACAATAACAATAATAGCATTTATATAGAATTTTAAGGTTTGCAAAACATTTTACCTACATTATCTCATTTGATCCTCACAACAACCCTGGGAGGTAGGTAATATGATTGTCCCCATTTTACCTTATCTATGATCACACAGCCATTGATGCGTAGGCAGGATTTGAATTCGGGTCTTCCTGATTCCAGGTCTAGTAATCCAGTTACCGTGCCACCTGGGTTCTATTCATTTTTTTCCTGCCCTTTAGGGCAAAACACAAGTCTGATTCTTCTTTCAAATGAAAATCCCTCAAATACTTGAACCACAGCACTCATGTCTCCACTGAGTCTTCTCCACTCTCTAGGTCAAACATTCCCACCTCCTCCAACTGATCCTCATATAGCAAAGGCCTTCACCATCCTGGTTGACCTCTGGACACTCTTTAGCTTATTAGTGTCCCTCTTCAACTGTGATACACATAATGGAACACAATACTCCTCCAACTAGTTTTTCCATGTTGGTGAGAATAAGATCAAGAATAGAATGTTCTTTGGTTAATTCTTCTACCTTGTGAGGGTTAAAGTGATCATTAAGGCAAGTCAAGAAATGAGTAGCTGCTCTGCTTCTGTCTGTGAGCCCTAGCAGATGTCTGGCTAGTTGAAAAGCCTCATCATGACCATCTCATGGCTCTGTGCTAGGCTTATGATCCATTTGCCGAACTACTCATCTAGTACTTTCTGTCCAAGTGGTCTACTGTATACTCCAATGACAAAATTACTTGTTTTTCCCTCCTTTGACCTTCATCCAAATACTCTCTATCATGCTTCCTCCACCTGGGTTTCCTATAAAAACTTGTCCAGGAGCATCAGGTCCTTGTGCAAGATACAGATGGGGCAAATAAATAGGTAGTTTGTTGCAGCAATGAGACAAGGTAGTAAAAGGATCAAAGAACTGATGATATGAATTGACGTAAGAATTAATATACAATGCTACCCCATTAACCCTCCTTTATTATCCTATTTCTTTTGAATAAGGTAAACCCATACAGAGCCCTATGTTAGTCATTGATTTAATTTCACCGAGTCTCACTGATATCTGTAAAGTCAAATTGTCCTTCTTGCATTAGGACCTCTAGTCCCTCTTCATCACCTAAACTTTGAACAATTTTTGGGCAGCATTTGAAGTCAGGGTGGGGTTTTTTTTCCTCCTCTGCACGTCTGGGTATTTTAACTGTTTTAACTTCCCTTCATTGAAGCTACTTTCTGTCATCCAACTTGATAGATATATATTGACAGCTTTCTCCTTCCCCCTTTAGTTTTCCCCATTCCTACAATCTCCACCTCTCTCTTACTCCAGTTGTATCAAAAAGATATCCTAACAAATAGAAGAAAATGGGAAGAAATAACAATTGTTTCTACTGACATCTTTACAACAAGCATGAACATAGTCAAGGATTAAATGGCAATACTCAGGAAGGGAAAAAGAGGTAGCCTCCATTCTCTTCTAAGATACAGACAGCACATTAATAGTGCCTACTGGATGTGAAGAGGAGATTGGAACCGTTACTGTATATCCAACTTCTCACATTTGACTCCTGCTACTGCAGGAGAAAACCTCCATGGTGAATGGGAGACTTCCCTTGGCTTTGTGTTATCACAACTGTACAAGCTTGTTTGAGGTTCCTCAGCATATCAGCTTAATACTCAATAGATTAAATGAAGATCTTACCTGTCACAGGTAAGTTGCTGGTTTTTTTTCAAAAGACATCCTGCATATATTTAGTTTTTGTGTCCTTAGGACATTTTTTCTTATAGCCTTTTAGAGAGGGAATTTAACATAATTCTGCTAAGTAATTGAATTGGGAATTATAGGCAAGCTGATAAGGGGGAAATTTTAGGAAATAAATACACTTAAAAAGAAATATCCTAAGAATGCATAGATAGTAGGAGAAAAAGACAAAGCATGAGAAGGATACTGAAGAAAAAAATGGGGATGAGTTTAAGAGTAGAAAAAAAGGGAAAAAGACAAAATGAAAGCAAAGACTAGAACAGTGGATTAAAAAGGAGATTTTTCTATTCCTATATCTCTTCTCAGAATCTTCCCAAACTGGAATCAAACAAAAAGAATCATTGAACAAAGTTAACTCTGCTATTGAACATTTCAAGGAATCTTGTATTCTTTTTTAGCATTTGCACAGAAGACAACTTTGTATAGGAGAGCCTCCTAAGCAGTATTTTACTTTACCAAGTCAGATGCTTTCTTATAGTCAACACACAATAAACATAGCGGATCTTCTGTGCTCTATAACTCTCAGTCAATTATAAAGATGATGTGGTCTGCTACAGAGAATCATTTTTCACAATCTGGATGTTCCCTTTTCATATTTTCATTGAAGATAGCTTTGATATATACGTAAATCATTCTTATAAGGATTTAAAAAAAGATGAAAGAGTAGGCAGGTAGGTCAATTGACATTTGCCTTTTGAGAGTATTAGTATTGTCTGTGACTTTTGTCTATTTTAGTACCCTTCTCCTATTAAAGAAAACAATGGGGAAGGGAGGAAGAATCAATTGTTCCTATTAATGTCTTAATAACAAGACTGAAGAGTTTGAGGATCTAAAGGGAATACTCAAGACGGGAAACAGATGAAGGCTTTTTTCTCCACTAATTCAAGGAATTACTTTTTAAAAATATACACTCACAAGAAAAGTAAAGCTAGAGGAATTCTAATTTATTTTCTCTCTTTTTTTCAGATTATTATGGGAATGGTGTGATAAAAATGTTCAACAATAAAATGCTTTATTTCAAACTTGAAATTAAAGATGTAGCACCGCTACATGATTGGGCTAACGAGAGTGACAATACTTTAGTTTTAATTAACCCTACTGGGGATCTGTTTCTTGCAAATCTTAATTATGGCATAGCAAAATCTTCAGAATATCCAATAATGCTGGAGTTATATAGTTCAATTTTTAAAGAACAAACTATTTGTCCATATCTGTTGTTTGAGAGCAGTATTATTGTAAGCAATATTTATTTGGACAAGAGAGATAAACTGACGTTCTGGGCTCAAGTAATCTATCGTGAGAATCTTGGTGTGTATCCTATTGTGGAAATCTATGGACGAAAAATATTAAAGGAGAAGAGAGATGTTAGCTATGAAATAGCCCTGGGAATCTGCACTAAAAATCTGGTAAGTCAGATTCAAATTTTTCAAATATCTATCCTTTTATTTCTTTCTTCAAATAGAAAATTGTGATTTAATGTTTTTTCCAGAATCATATATATGAGTAGTTTGAGAAAGATGTCATTTTTCCACTTATTCATTCAACACATTTCATAAATAATATTATAGTAAGCATCACAGATACCTATGAAACCCATCCACATCTTCAATCCTACTTACATGCTGTTGAACTAAGCTGGAGAAAAGTCATAAAATCAGTCTAGGTCCACTTTAAGTTTAGGTTACATAATCTCACCCATGCTTTCCCTGTGGCAAGTCAATCAATTCACTATACCACTGTTACCAGCTCTTTCAGACCTTTTCATCCTTCCCCAAGTCCCCCACAGCTTTCTCTCCCCTCTTCCCATCCTCTATGCTGTGATAAAAATTATTTGAGGATTCATTAAATAGTTATTGCTGCCAATCACCAAATCAATACATAGAGACAGATTTTGTTTATACCATAAATACATTTTTTAATACTGTAGATTTTATTAAAACTCATTGTGCAGGCTCATCTATACGAAAAAAAAGTCAGAAAGCCAAAGCATCAGCTTGTAAGCAGCATAGAAAAATGGAATTTTACAGAAAGTAGGAGAGGAAAAATATGAGTATATGTATTGGGAAACAAGTAACAAAAGGCGGAAAATACAAGCATCTGTTTTGTAGTTAAAGCAGGAACTGTGGCTTCTTTCCTAGCCTTGACTCTGCAAGTGTTATGGCCTTTGAACTTTCAGTAACAATATCTGGAAATTAAAAATACAGACTGGGGCAATGTCCTCTTCTTATGCCAGTGGTGGAAAGAAGCCTGAGCCAGAAATTATCTTGCCAGTGTGCAAAGGCATAGAGATGGGAGAGGAACAAGAAATCCATTTCGGCTGGACCATAGAGTGCATGAAGAGATATAGTGCATAATAATCCTGGAATTGTAGGTTGGCTTAGGTTATGAAGGGCTTAAGTGCCAATTGGAAAAATTTGTATTTGTTCCTTGAAATGATATGAAGCCAGTGCAAGACCCTCCCTTTCAAAGTATGGGAACTTATAGTATAAAATAGAATATAAGTACACAAGAGAGATTTGAGTAAGGTGATATATGATAGTTTTTATCACAGAATCTCAGAGTTGTAAGGGACCTCAGGAGTCATCTAAATCAATCCATGTTTGAACAATAAAGTCCTTTAACCCACTGCTGACAAGTGTAAGACAGTAATTGTGTGTTACGAGCTTGCCTGTTTAGCCATGATCAGGGGATAATGATTAGTATCATGAGTCCACGAATAACTGGAGTGATCAGGCAGGCATGTGTGCCCTCTTTTCTGTTCTTAATGATCTTGTAATTAACAGCTGACATTTGGGGAATGGAGTAATAGGAAGAGACACAGCAAGTTCTGTCCTCATATGTACATCCTCCCAAACTCCTCCAGACAGATCTACAAAATGCACCAGACTGCATCCTGATTGGGAAATTCAAGAAAAATTAGTATGAGTCATTTTTCCAGCCCAGGTCAAAACAGAGAGATAGATAGATATGTGGATACCAAAGATGAGATGTAGCCAGTGTGGGACGTAGAGCATTCCAGCACTGGGAGATGCTGAGCACCAAGGCAAGAAGAGGTTCCAGATAAAGGCACCTAAATTTGTATAGAATGCAGGGACAGGTGCCAAATGACCGCTTTGTCATTCGCTACCTCCAGGTAACAGATCTGTGAAAGACTGACAATGGAGCCTGCGCCTATGGTGACATTTCAGGGTGAGAGTCCAGAGCCTTGGACTGTGTACAAACTAGTCCTGAAGCAAACAGCAAATGTGTGCTCATACTTCACAAGTTAGCCCATCCTAAAGCTTGCAGAGGAATAACCAGGGCAGGAATGTCAAACAAAAGGGAAATCTACAATTCTGTAACTATGTACCAGCAGAGCTTCTAGCTGGAAAGTCATAATGATAGTGACTAGGTCCAGCAGCAGTCTACTGAAACTCTAACTAAGCAAGCCCACAGTCGTGTTGTTCAGACCCAAATCCATGCCAAGAACTTGCAAAACTAAAATAGGGTAGGAGGGAGAGCAGAAATAAAATTTTGCCCTGCATCAGATCACTTTGGAAGCACTGAAAGCTTTCAGATCACAACTCAATACCTCTAAGTAAGCAACAGGAGAACCAGGCTAGACATTCCTTCCAGAAATATGCAGAACCTGGACCTAGCATGAAGTCCATAAAGTACACAAGTAGACTCAAACCAAAAAAAAAGACTACTTTGGGAGCACTGAAAAGCTTGCTGATCCCTAGCCTAAGCTATTCCTGAGATGCTGGAATCGCATAACACTTCATGCCTCCAAGAAAATGGCAGCAGGACCAGCCCAGACATTCTCTCCAAAAGTTTAAAGATCCTGACCTTAAAAATGTAGAACATCACAAAGCTAAGAACAGATCCCTGAGGTTTACCTGGGATCTTTATGGAGGTAGACATGGATCTATCAGTCTCTGGCCTTTACAGTCAGTCATTCAACCAATCCTCATCCATATAACTCTACTTTTATTTTTTTCCATATCTTCCCATCTAGTCTGCAAGGATATCATAAGTGACTTTGTCAAATATCTTGCTGAAAGCCAGGAATAGTATGTCTATGGCATTCCCCTAACCTATTCATATATAGGAACCCTATCAAAAAAGAGATAAGCTTAAGCCGGCATAATTTATTTTTGACGAGTCCACAAGTGATCACTGTTTCCCTTACAAAACGTTCAAACCATTGCTTTCATGATGTGTTGTAGAATTGTCCCATCAAAGTCATATCAAAATCAGTCTATAGTTTGAAGGATCCATCCTCTTTTCCTCTTTGAAAATCAGGGCAGGGGGCAGCTAGGTGGCACAGTGGATAGAGCACCGGCCCTGAAGTCAGGAGGACCTGAGTTCAGACCAAACACTTGACACTTACTAGCTGTGTGACCCTGGGCAAGTCACTTAACCCCAACTGCCTAAAAACAAACAAAAAAAAACAAACAAAAAAAAAAAAAGAAAATCAGGGCATCTACCTATCTCCATTCTTACGACTTGTTCTCCATGATATTTAAAAGATAACCAAAACCATATCAGCATACACATCTCCCAGTTCTTTCTGTACTCTGAGATACAATTTATCTGGGCTTGCTAACTTGAAATTACTAAAGGAAGCTAGGGAATGTCTTATCATTTCTTCACTTCTCCCAAGATCAAATTCCTTTACTATGTACTGGGAAGTCTGGAGTATTGTGGGGAAACTGGCCAATAAGGACCCAGTCATTGCTACCTATATAAAACATGCCTATTGCCAATGCACATGAAGGTTAATGAGCATACTATTCCCTAGCAGTTTCATGGTGAGGAGAAGCCTTTTCATAATGACTGCTGAGCTGGAACTCAGTGTACATACAAAAGGTTCAAACAGATTAATGTTCTCAGTTTTTGAGTAAGAAGGCAAAAGAAATGCTGTGGGCCCAGTAATAATGGGGCAGCCATGGTTGACTGAGACTGCCTTATCTCCCCACCTAACCACCCTCTGGCCATGAACTCGTGGCACCTCTCTTTTTTTGTGTTGTTTGTCTTTATTCTTTCATAATCTGAGGCGAGTATCAGTGATAGAACAGACAAGGTTATGCCTCTGTGAACTTTGAAAGGTCAAAAGAGTGATCAAAGGTCCCCTCGGCATTTGAAGCTGTTAGCAGCAGCAGCTATGCCTGGTGAGCAGACCAACCTATTTGATGTAGACCAACACTGAATTGACCTGGTAGCTGGGAGACTGTGGCCTTCAAGAAAGTCAGCAACTCATCCATAGAGTACACCACACTCAGAAGTAAATTGGGTGAGAAGAGCGCTTCACTTCAGTGGCTGGGCACAAGGAGACAGAGAACATCTACAGAGACTGCACAAACCCAAAGCCTGGGAGGATGGCAGTGCTGTGTGAGTGCATGCACGAGGGCTGCACAAGCACCAGCAGGGTGCAGGACATGTTGTCCATAGGCTCTAAAGTGCTCCAAAGTATTCCAGTGTGAAGATTACTACAGTGGAGAGAATCAGCATTTTGGAAAGAGTGAAGAATTTTCTACAATTTATCAAACAAGAAAACAAAAAAACTAAGAGGAAATAGGATTGGCACCATCTGGCCTGTTTGATACTGAAAAATATAGATGACTCCATGGAAAAAGCATAGAAATGGATATGGTCTATTTTTTTTTTTTTTTGCTTCACCATCTCCCTCTCTGTCTCCAATCCCCCTGCCACCCAATTTTTTTTTAAATCCTCTCTTGTCACAGATAAGCATAGTTAAGTAAAACAAATATGCATGCTGGGCATGTCCAAAAATGTGTATCTCATTTTGCACTTCTAGTCAATTACCTCATAGGAGGTGTGTAGCCTACTATAGCATTGGTTCTCTAAAGTTGTGGTTGGTTATGTCATTCATCAGAGTCATTAGATCTTTCAAATTTTTTTTTCATTGTGGTACCACAGTATAAGTTGTTCCTGTTTTGCTCATTTCATTCTGCATAAGTTCATACAAGTCTTCTCAGATTTTTCTCAATCCATCCCTTTTGTCATTTCTTATGGCAGCACAATAATAATTCATTACATTCATACGACATAATTTGTTCATTTATTCCCCAAGCAATGATCACCCCTCCCTTAGGTTACAATTCTTTTTCCTACAACAAAAAGTACTGCTATGAATATTTTTGTACATGTTAGTCCTTTATCTCTTTCTTTGATTCATTTGAGGTATATGCCTAGTAGTGGTACTGCAGAATCAAAGGGTCCACAGATTAGTGAATATGGAGGTATAGCTCCCAGTAGCCTTCAAGAATGCTTGACCAATTCATAGCTCCACCCACAGCGAAGTAGTGTAGCTGTGCTCTAACATCCTCTCTAACAATTGTCGTCTTCCTTTTTTGTCATCTTTGCTGTTCTGATGTTCTGTGTTAGGTAGAACCTCAGAGTT